GCCTGTCCAGAAAGATAATATAGTCAATATTACTGTGTTGTGGTTGATAAATATGCCAATAAAGTAGATAGTAGATGGATGGGTGGCCGGGTGGCCCGGGTGGCCGGGTGGCTCGGGAATTACGTTAAGTCACACACAGCAAGATATCTCAAGAACCAAGACATTCAGGCTTAAGCACATATAGATCGTTCATTCAGTTATCCATCTATTCTAATCCAAATAAGCACACTCCAAAGAAATCACCAAAACTTCAAATTATCCGGTACCGGGAACACGTCTAAAGCACGGGCCTTTCAAACCCCTAAAACAATCCCTTGAACGCCAAACCATCATCCACTGATAGAGAGATCTATACCGACCAAAAGCGAGCCTTCTTTCCTCCCTTGCCCTTCTTGTCGTCCTCCTCCTTCTTCTGGCCCTTGTTCTTCCCCTCGTCACCCTGCTTCTTCTTGTTCTTTTCCTTCTGCTTCTCCTTGTTCGCCTCATCCGTCTCCTTGTTCATCGCATCGAGTTGTGCTCTCAATTCCTTGGTCATGAGCTGCTGCTGCTCGGTATTGGCGATCTTGGGCAGGTCACAGGCTTCCTCAGTGTCGACATTAATAGGGGTGAAGCCCATGTGGTGGCAGAAGAGATCGCATCCCCAGGCATTTTCTTTAGTGCCGCAAGGGTTATGAGCTTGCTCCACAATCTTGCCATCTTTGGTTTTGGTGTAAAGCCATGCAATTGTCTGCTTCGGCTTCTTGTTCTTCAGGCTCTGCCCGCTGTTCTTCAACAGGTAGGTGTAGCTGGCCATCAGCTCCCCACACGAAGCATCATTTTTGTGCTGAACATTGTTCCGGTCCTCGCCGCTACCTGTTGACTGAGCATCTCCGAGTGCGTCAGCGATTTCCTTCGGAACACCCTTCCTGATGCTTCCGTTGCCGACTTTGCCGCCCTTATCCTTCGTCTTGAAGTCGTAGATGAAGGAGTAGTCGCCCTTCATTGACGAGGCCAGGTAAATTCGGTTGTCGATTTCCATGGCCGTCATGATCGAGGGCTGCTTGGCCTCCGGGACCGAACCAAAGTCCGCTTGCATCTCCTTGCTCGCTTCGTGCGCAATCTTGACCATCTCTTCGGGCAACACTTTCTCCTTCTTCTCAAGGTCGACAATTGAAGTCCAGACAAACTGGCCATCCTTGTATCCTTTGGTCGCGGCAACAGACATGTCTCGTTTAACGTTCAGGTCGCCGGCCAATGCCAGGCTAACGAGGAGAGGCAAAATCGTGCAGATCTGGGAAAGAATCATATTGGCTGGTTAGGATTAACGAAATTATATAATAAAAGAAGTAGAAGAAGAACTTGCAAAGCTCAATGGATTAATTGATTGATTGACTGTGAATTGGATTGTATAATTTTACATTCCTCGACATGTCCCTCCTATCTATGCTCCTTGCCGTTTCTATACAATCGATTCCAAGCGCACCGTCAGGCTGTTTTCTTCAGGGCTGTAACAAAGACTCTTGGGGGCCAGTGAGGCAGACAGGTCCGCCTAGTTTTTAGCGTAGCTGCAGGACAAAGTGCCCTGAAGAAAGAAAAACGCCGTATCCGCACGGGCCCGCAAAGAGTCGCAGCCAACAGAGAAAGCTTATGTTGTAAACAAACCCCAAATGATAACGCGAGATAATATTAAATTAGGTTGAATTGGATAAAATAAAAATAATCTGCCAAGAATAGCGAAAAACGCCTTGAACAGCGATCCTCGCCTGATCATCACCGCAATCAGGGGAATTGATGCGCGTGCCTGCATTGTTTCATTATTGCTACGATAGCCCTTAGATTGTCCATAAGCACTAAAACTTGAGCACAAAATCTGGCACAAAGTCCGGCTGCATTGGTACTATACTTATGTTGTACTATATCTATTCACACCAAGTATTATTTTGTGTCCATAGCCCCGGAGACAGATAGTCAAATACCACTTCCAGGTCAATCCCGGCCTCTGTACACACCTCTTTCAATTCTGCGCGCTCCTTGGCAAAGGTTTCCCTGTCAATGGGGTGCAGCATGCGTTGCCGGATGGTGACTCGTTTAAGGTGCGGCGAATGAGTCCGTTGATCGTCCAGCAGATACCGGACGCAATCATGTAATTGTGACTCGAATTCCCAAAACCCATTAATCTCCGAATTATCCCACTGCAGACATAATTCCTCGAGGGTATCCGGTAGACGGTCGCCAATTTCATCCGATTCATCTGGATCCAATCCCACAAGTAAAGTGATGGGTACTTCTGCAGATCGCAGCCGGGGGAATTGCTTCAGAAATCCATCAAATTCTATCCTTGCCTGTTCATCCTCGTCGGTTCCAAAATCATAGTACCCTTTGCTGAATGGGTAGTATTCCACACCCAGGGAGAGCTTTTCTAGAGTATCACTGATGGACTCCAAGCCCTCCAGGATGTTCGAGCATGATGCCAAGGCAAATTCACTGTGCCATCTATATGCCATGCCCAAGTGCAGAGACTTCAAGGTAGTCATCTGGGACAGCAAAGATGGCACGTCTTCTTCTTTGATAGTAGCTCGAGCGATGACTAGCGTATGCAGCTTACTCAGATTCCCCTGGTCCTCACCAGTAATAACGTCTTGAAAGCTCCGTAGCCAAATGGATATGGATTGAACGGAAGGCAGATGGAACCAGGCCATGAATTGATTGGGATCACAAGGAGGGTAGCCATTCAATTCATCAAAAATATTAAAGATGGGGTCAAACTCCTCAGACAGGGGTACATTACTACCGTAGTCAATAGCCGTAAGAGAGTTGAAAGATGATAGTACGGCTTTTGGTGTGGAAAATAACGCGTGCTTCATCATCAATCCAGGAAATCCTGATTTCCAGACAAAGGAGTAGTCCAGCCGAAGAGATTTAAGGTTGTGTAATCGGGAGAGGAGAATGGTCACGTAGGCATAGGAATTGCCTTTCTGGAGCGCTTCATTCCATTTCAAGGCCTCTGGGAACTGGGCTTTATCAACAATTGATTGGGACTGTTCCACGACGTCGCTGAAGCTCTCAAGATATTGATTCCAAAGTGGCCCATCCTGGCCATCTCGTGGGTCGTTTTTCCATTCTTCAGTGAGCACATATTGCGAAGATGACAAGATCGAGACGTGCTGGATATTTGAGGCCAGCTCAGGGCACTGTAGAACAGCCTGCAGTAAGCGCAGAATGCGTGCTTGGGGCACAGTGTTCCACTCCCATGCGATAGTGCTATACATCGAAGGCCGAACAGATGCGGTGAGATCCTGAGACGCAGACAACATAGTCACGATTTCATCTGCTTCTATATGGTCAAAGACTCCCATCCAGCAATCCCTGGGCATCCGCTGGCATAAGCTGCATATGGTGTTAGCAAGATGCTTACATGCCTGGCTGGTTGGCATGTACTCACTCTGGCTGCTTTGAATGCATGCTTGATTTCACTGTCGTCATCATTTGCAATCTAGGTAATATTCTTGTTCTTGTCCAGTTCATTGTCCTCTGGCCAGTATTTGTAGGTCTTTTTTCACTCCATGGCCGACGATGGCTCCTAAGTAAGCGGGGTGGGCGGTGCTTCACAAGGCGTATTTCTGCGAAAGACGGACTATTAACGACAACGACATCTAGTTACGACACTGCCGTTGAAGAAAAGACACACATTGGGGCTTGAAAATACGACGGTTGACCTAGGAAATAACTCTTGACCATATTTGAGCCCTGGATCACCGTAAGAGCCAAACAATTGCGAAAAGACGTGGGTCGCAGGTGTGGACATAGCTCACCCGAGGTGCGCGAACAACCCAAGCGAGGAAGACGCTAAATGCCCCACTTTGGCACAACCGACCAAAATATTGACCTCAGCCGACCTGATCTCTCGATACCTGATCTCTCGATACGGGTCGCTCACGATCCTCCACAGTCCGACCTGCGTGAGGGACGGGTATAATGATACTTGTGACCTTCACAGATCCTCATTGACCCTCAATTTCATAAAATTTCATGAAATTTCATAGAATTTCCACGCTTTACCTAATTTGTATGCATAAAAATGATTATCCATCCTAATATAGTACTGTCTATCTTGTTTGGTCACCCTCGCGAAAATCAGACCTAACCTAGACCCTCACTGCGGGTGAGAGAGCCAAACCCTCGACCCTCAAAATGAGGGTATTAGGGTGACCTTCCGAGCACCCGGGGTGAGGCTGAGGTCTAAATCATGGGATGGGCCACATTTCGCCACAGGGATCGGTTGGATAAATAGTCGATCCAATTAGCAATGCCTTGGATGCCACTGTGGCCATACCATAGATTACTAGTTAACTATTAGGCGAGCTCAGCGCTTCTCTCAACAATCCAACCATCTCTAGTTTCATATAGTATCCACTGCATGTTGTTACAGACACAAGTACGAAAAATAATTGTTTAAATCCACACTCCAACAGTCCAGCTATAACGGCTATGGCTTAGAATGCATGTTGACTAAACCTCAGCAGTGCAAATAGCATCCTTCTTCTATGGTATCACTCTGTAGAATCCAGCACTAACCTCAGAATCATGCTCCTGTTTTATTTTCACAAGTTTTTCACACCTGTAAATTATAACCAAAGCCAGAAACCCTGAAGCAGAAAGGCCGGTGGTGATGATGGTCAATAATGCTATAATTGACCAATTTCCTTCCCTTGCCGTGTAATTATTGACAAGCGATGTGACCAGCCCTGCTGTAGCATTGAGAAGCGTTGGACTGTGAAAGGGGCAACTCAGTTGAGCACAGTTACCTATATTGGTGCTTGAGTGTCACTTACATAAACAGGTGGTTGATGAGCCATATATAGTTAGTTGTCTTTTTGCTCCCAGAAGAGCCAGGCAGTCAACACGGCAGGAACATCATACCAGGAGAAGGAAGATATATAAGGACGCTCATTCATGTACTTAGTTTAGTTCTTCGCGATCAATCTCGTTAATCAAGCATTGGTTACATTCTAGTTTCTGACTCATCCGCACTTAACCAACAACCCAGTATACGTACTCGGTTGGCCTTGTTTCTCCATTCGTTACCTTTATCGTTTCTACTTGTTGATCATCTTACGGAGCCTGGAGGGGGCGATATACCCATCAACGCACACGACTTACTGAACCGGACCCGGAGGGACATTGAGCATACGAATACTTGGAAGACACTTAGGGTAAGTGTCCTGTCTCGAAATACAACTAACTAGGATCCTAGGTACGATACGAGAGAAGCCAGGTTGTGACACCAACGTGACCAGGTCATCACATCCGGTGCCCTGAGCCAATTGCATCTGGGTGTTGCAGCTCCAAGCCTCGCATGTCAAACACGCTGAAATGAAAAGGATGCGGTAATTTCGCTATTGCCTGGTAGACATGGCGAGGATACATAAATGAATTGATCCTGGTGGAGTTGAAAGACGGCTGTGGAGGGGGACAGGCGCAACCCAGTTCACAGCCAGATCTGGTAGCCAGATAACCAGAAAGTTGCCTTTCCCATGTAGAATCTTGGGAGCCTAGGTAAAGAAGGAATCATGGGATCTTGAAATAAAGACCACAAGCAAGGCAGCTGAGGATCCAGAAGTCCTCAAGGAAAGCCCAAATAGGATAGCATGGCTGGAAGCAACTCAAAAAGTCGCTGATCAGCTGGCAGACTCGTGAAGGGGGCCCATAACTGCAATAATAAGCAGCAGCACAGCATCAGGGGGGTGATGTGGATAGGTTGATTTCCAATGAAGCGACAGTAACAAGGTCTTAATGTCTCAATTGTTCAGATGACCGTCGGCCACTCCGGCGCCATACTGGAAAAGGGTAATCGTCGGATAACGCGGCATCTTGGTAAGAGGGCAGTGCACCAAGCGAGGCAGACAGGAGAGGGAAAAAGAGAAGAGAAAGTGCGTGGTCCTTTGAGGGGGAGATGTCGGGCTTTTATCAATGGATGTGTTGATACAGTAGACGCCATGCAGCAAAGGGCAATGGTATTCCCATCAATGGCAGGCGGTAGGGCTCGGCAGAAGCGCGGTTCATGGGTGCCGTTTCTGGCGCCCCGCTAACCGTCACAACAGATACTGTATTGAGAATAACGCTGTATTTTAGGTGATAAAAGAATTATAAACATTCCAGACAAAAGATGGAGACTTCTACAATGCATGCATATTAGATATTATGATTCTTAATAGAATACTTATAACATTGGTTGAGATATTGGGGCTTAAAAAGTGCCATTTTGTATGCAATACTCCGGGTGGCCGCTCGCTTGTAGTGGCCGCTCGCTAATGAATTACGCTATATACCTCTTCCGAATAAGATAGGGTACATACGACCATAGGGTGTGGAGGACAGGGCTTCCCGTCCGCTCAGCCGTACTTAAGCCACACGCCGGCCGGTTAGTAGTTGAGTGGGTGACCACCAGCGAATCCCGGCTGTTGTATGTTTTTCTTTTTTTTTTTGCATCACAGAGCAAAAATTATTTGGCATAAGTAGGCATTGTCACAGGCTCGTTAACTAGTTAGTAGATAAAACGATTAATATTCATATCTAGACTAGGTAGCCTATCGACGAGAATATCGAATCTGGAGAGGGAAAGAAAGAAGAGGAATCTACAGGATAAAGGGGAATATCTATGGGTTGTACTTGTGCGACAGGACTAGGGCATCGTTGGTCTTGATTGTCCGGATGACAGCGTTTGCCTCGTTGGTGGTGTTGGTGTTTGTCGATATTGGCTGTTGGCGTTGGCCGTCACACCAGTGCCTTCATGGGGGCCCGCACATATAAAGCAAAATGGCGGGCGGTCCCCACAGGCCTTGAAGCTGCGGTGGCCCAGCTGGCAGCACCTGGGGCAGACTGTGTCCACCCCTGTTATTTCAGTACTGCTCTGTCCTGTATTGGGATCCTCCAAAATGAATGCCATTAATAAGGCTCCAGGCCTCCTCTAGTGAGCCGACTGTAATAACAATGGCTGAGCCCTTTTGGTTGCTGCTCTGCAGCTCCTTTGAGCTTTGGGGCCATGTTGGATTCCTCTTCAGCTGGTATTCAGTGCCCAGTTCAATGATCATGAATCAATAGGCTTCACTGAGTGGATTATTGGCTGATAATCTCATAGGAAGGATATCAAGGGTGAAGCTTGCAGTTGGGTATTGATCGATCAGTCTATATAAGTAGTAAAGTTAGTATAGAACCCCCAGGATGCCATTGTGTTTGTTAGACGTCGGTAGTAGGCCGGCCCGGGCTCATGACCAATGAAGCGGGTAGCTCAGGATCGGGGAATCAAGGAGTCGATAATCCGGACTGCACGAGGCTATAGGCGAGGAGAATTTTGAATTACACGAAAGGGTGATATTGATAACTATAGAATGAATGCTTAGCCATCTAAAGCGTATGGCTACAGTGTCCCATATGAGATATCCGTCGGTTTCGCTAATCGGGTCGACTATTAATCCGTCTTGACTTTCATCACATCCTTAACAGTCAACGCTCTGCTAACTATTAGTTCTCTTCTTTTTCTCATGCTTGATATTCTCGTTGTTTGGCTACCTATTTAGATAGAGAATACACTCGTTTATCTACTAGATGAGCTCATGACATGAATCATGTTATGCTGAGTTGGAATTATATTCCATGTCCAGGCTCTACTGATTATGATCGAACTCATAGATGTTCATATCTCTGCTCATCTTGTAAATAAAAGCGCCCCATTTGGAGTCTTCTATTACTCGTATCTGATTACTCGTATGTTTTTGAATTTATATCTCATAGCCATTGCTAATCGTTATCTATGCTGTTATAGCATTAACAACTTCAAATTTCTTCAATTCTGGGGCAATGAAACTAAAAGCTCGAGCCATTCCCGGTTCAAGGCTGATATAGCGTGCAAATATAGTAGAGACATATCGAATAGCCAAAAAAAAAAAAAAAAAAAAAAAAAATTGAAGCCCATTCGCTGGGAAATCAAGTCCATGTTCTATTCAAACCAAAGCCGTAAAAGTAGAATATAACACAAAAATAGCCAAAAATATATATAGCGAGTCCCTCCATCTAGTCTCTCTAAGTTTGGTTGCTTATCATTGAGTTGAATAATTGGCCGTCTGAGCATCATAAAGCTCCCAAAAATGACCACGCTGAGTCAATAACTCATCAGGAGGTCCAGCCTCCAGCACTGTGCCGTGACCCATCACAATTACCTGGTCGCTATCCAAAATCGTTGTCAGTCGATGTGCGACTGTCAGGATCGTTCGATTCTGAAACTCCTCCCTAATAACCTTTTGAATCTTATCATCTGTCTCCCAGTCGACGTTGCTTGTCGCTTCGTCCAGCACAAGAATCATCCCAGGTCGCAGCATGGCACGAGCTAAGCAGAATAACTGCTGCTGGCCGTGTGATAGGGAAAGGGTATCTATGTTACTGTCTAGGCCCCCGTGCTGTTGAATAAGTGACCATAGTCCTACTTTCTCAAGTGCAGTGATGATTTGATCATTGGCCACAGTCCCTGAAGGGGACATGTTAAAGCAAACAGTCCCCGGAGGGAAGAAAGGTTCCTGTGGGATGGCAATCAAGCGTGATCGCACTATCTGCCGTGGAATTGTAGAAAGATCGATATTGTCCACGTAAATACCACCGCCGCGTAGCTCCATCATACGGAAGAGAGCGGATAGTAGTGAGGACTTTCCACTTCCAGTTCGACCACAAATACCAATCTTATGACCCGGTTGGATATGAAAGGAAACGCCATTCACCACTGTGTCTGAGATCATTGTATATGAAGCAGTGGTACCACAGAATTTAATGGAGCCCTGAGTAGGCCAGTCTTTGGGCGGGAATGTCAGGGCTCCTCCTGTCAGCGAAGAATCCTCTGGTTCTGTTGTTTCAACATAATCCTTGACCCTGGCCACAGCCTGTAGAGAGGTCTCAAGGTCTGTGTAGTAATAAATAAACTGGGCAAGACTCTGACTGAAGTTAAGGACATTAAGAAGGGCAACACTGAGAGATGCGCCGCTCGTAGAATTAGGCAATTGGGTTGCCAGAGTCATGAGAAGAACAGCCAGGGCCGCAATTATCAGATCCAGCACAAAGTTAAGCCATCGTTGTATACAGTAGAGTAGATAAACTGGTCGCTGTGACGTGTCCAATCGCTCTGAATTTCTTGCTTCATATTCCTCTTGCCGACCGAACGCCCGGATGATTGGCAGACCCTCAAGGGTCTCAGATATGCTGGAGAATAAGGGAGACTTTTGTTCCAAGTCAAGTAATCGAAGCTGGCGCGAGGTACGAAGATAAAACTTTTGGAGTAGCCAAGTAGCCACCATTACTACAGGAATAAATACCGCGAAGTATGTAGAGCCTGTGGCCATGAGCCCAATCTGGGCGAGTGTCTGCAGTGCCATGGTAGTTGCTTGCATCGTGGAGACTGGCAACCGGCTGTTGATCAGAGACATATCTTGGCTGAACCGATTGAGCGTCACACCAGAGTCTGTAGACGAGAAGAATGAAAGTGGCGCGCAAAGTACAGCATGCAGTAGTTGCCAGTGTAGTTTGGCCGCCGAGATTGGAACAATGATAATCATCATGCACCAAATTGATGCAGCATTGGTGAGAATTGCAGCGACCGCAAAGCCGAAAAAGGCACCTAGGAAGCTTCCATTATTTGATAATCTAGACGTGGTCCACCACTGCACCCAGATCTGAGGGAAATTTGTACAGAAGGTAGAAATAACAGTTGTGATAAGGAACACAAAAGCGAGCCACGCCCCAATTGACTTGAAGTAATATGCAAAAACTGCCGTGTCGCTTGGTGCTCGCTTCTTTTCCCCATCATATGATACTGATGCAGTGGTGACTTGTGCTTGCTTTCTTGATATCTTGGATGAGGCATCGCCAAGTTCACTCTCTGGTATACCATCTTCGACTGCTTTCTCGCTCGTGAGGTTTTGTAACAGGTATTTGGCGTAGCCATCCTGCGAACTCAGAGACTCGAACGTTCCCTGTTGGGCAATCTTGCCGTCATTTTCAAGAACGATGATTATATCCATAGCGCGAATCTGATGAACAGCATGGCTCACCAAAATGACCGTCGTATTATGACTTCGGAACAGGCCATGTTGAGAAAAGAGGCGCTCAAATACAAGCTTTTCCGTCCGCGCATCAAGAGCACTGAGTACATCGTCGAGTAACATCAAGTTCTTACGAGCATACACAGCTCTAGCTAGAGATAGTCGCTGTTTCTGTCCGCCGCTCAAGGTTATGCCGCGACTCCCAACTTTTGTTTCATCTCCGTCGGCCATATACTGTATATCTTCATCCAATGCACAGCACCAAAGCACTTTCTCATACCACTTTTTGTCATATGGAGTGTGATCAAGGATATTCTCCCTGATGCTGGCATTGATCACCCACGGTGTCTGTGGGCAGTAGGCTATCTGTGAGAATTGTGACTGTAGACATCCCTGCGAAATCTCAATCTCCCCTAAAATTGCGTTCAACAACATGGTCTTGCCCGATCCAATTGATCCAATGACCATGGTGAGCGAGCCAACTGCACATTCGAGGTCGATATTGTGAAGTATTATCTTGCCACCTGGCAAAGCAGCAAACCCGCCATCCCGACATGACACAGCATGATATTGACCTGGTTGGAATAATTCGCCCCTCTTGGGGACCATGCTTTGTAGTTTCATGCCGTTTCGGTGAGTCCCTGGTGGTGTTGAAGGTGGAGAGGAATGTGAGTCTATGTCTAGTATCCTGCCATCAACCCGGTCATCAAGAAGTAGATAGGTCTGAATTCGGGTGAAGGACCCCAACGATGCCGCAAAAGATGGAAAGGAAGAAAGTACTTTTTGAAGAGGCGTAGTGAGGAGCTGTATCAGGGACAGGGATGAAAATGCGCGTGCAGCTGGGACCTGACCTCCGTACCATTGCACGCCAGTGATGAATATGAGGAAGGTAAAGGGAGATGATAGTTGAACGGGAATAGACGCTGTGGGAAAATTGTCAGTACCGTATAAACAGTGCACGGCTACATAGACAGACCTAAAATAGACATGTATGCAAAAAAGCTACGGTAGCGTTTGGAGAGATCCAATTCGTATACTCTAGCATTCTGAATGATACTTTCAACCGTATCACTCAGACCGGTCATTTTGACGCTTTTCATATTTCGAAGCACTGAGGAAGTCATGGTGACCCGTTTCTGGATTGCAGCACTCCATTCGCGCTGTCGCCCTGGTATATACCGGGCGATCCAGGTGTTAGAAGCTGTTGCGACTAAGTATCGTCAGTACAACACTGGTGTTGGAATACGTTTTAACTTACAGAATGCGAGGAGAACTGGGGCAATACAGGCCCATCCGAGTTGGCGCTCCAAGAGGATGATGGCTATGATGGACTCGACACTACTGGCCCAGATCTCATGAGCGCTCTCAAGTGAGAGGCCAATCCGATCGACGTCCGAGCTTGCGAGAGTGATAGCGGCTGATTTTTTGGCATCGCTAAGGCGGATTTTCAGGGTCTTTTTGTAAATGATGCTAACCAGAGAGCCTCGAAGCATCGTCGTTGTACGGTAAACCTTGAAATTGTAGATGCCGGTGCTCAACTGGAGATTGTCAATTATGTGTCCTTGTTGAATCATAAAGTGGCTTGCTCACGGCGATACCAAGATAAATGAGGCCCGTTGCACCGATCAAACCATAGCCGACATTTTGGGAACGATTGTCCTGGGCACGGTCCACATAGTCTACTGCAGCAGATAGAAGAAATGGCTGACAGTATTTGAACCCAATCAATGCAAGACGAGCTGGGATCGGCGTCAACAGAGGCCATCGCAACGCAGACGAGGCCGCAACTAGGAGAGAGTGAGTTCTGCTTTGTTTTGCTATTGGTCAAGTTAGTATTGATAGAGACAAAAACCCAAGACATGGCAAGGCTATATCTCACTTTGCGACCAGGCTTTGGCTATGCCGTCTCCCAGCTTCTTTGATGCTAGGTTGGTTTCGAGAGGGTACAGATCGTCCAAGGCCAGAGGTTTTTTATAACCTCTTAAGAATAGGCGATTCAACCACCAGAATACGCTGAGATTGTACACACTACTTGTACTTTCGGGTGTGAGCTTTTCCTCGACTCCACCGGGAATAAGGTTCTTTTCGCGGGCTTCTAGATATGCAATACACAGCTGGATTGCCAATCCCGCCGTGAAAACAGCCGGAATGGAGATTGCGACATGGCGTAACCAGAGCGTTCGTGCTTGGGTCACATCGCATAACACAGAAAAGAATAAATATATGTTCAACACCGCAGAAGGACGGATCGACCGGGTGTGTTCGTAATGAGAGCTTATCGCAATGGCGAGAGCTGTTGCAAGTGACAAAGCGGCAGACGGAATTGAAGCGTCGTTGCGGGCACTCGAGGGCAGGCACCAGAGAACGAGAAGTACCAAACGAAGCGCGACAAGTGCGGAAATTGTGCCCTGGGGTCGCTAAGATTAGGAATTTGCTCTTTTTCATTTCTCTGACGATAAAACTCACTAATTTAACTGTATGAATCCAGGATGGCGCTGTGATGATACTGGCACGCAACAGACGGACAAGGCGCACTGCGGCAAAGACCAGAAACAGCACCGCGGGGACAATGGACAAGACGATCTGCTCAAAATACAGGGTGAAATCGAAGCCACTCCGGCATCCAGGAGGCACAGAGGGCCCAAAGGACCTGTCGGCCTCTAGACAGGCCGCAGGAACCATTCTGTGTCCTTTCTGGAGGAGTAACTGGAAACAAGCCGGTGTCGGTTGGGTAGTATCTTCGAGTCGCAGAAAAAGGCGAATTAGAGGGGAGATGCTGGATCGGGTAAGGCCAAAACAGGCTGTTACTATAAATACGGTATTTATCGCTGTTTATCTTACCGTCCTGGGAATTTTAATTGATAAATGACTCACCTTCTTCTTTTGCCTTCTCTGTAAGACTGCACTTATTCAGAAGCTGAAAATGGACAAGATGTCGAATACACCAGGGCTAGACGCTGCTCAGCCCAAAGATGCCGCCCAAGACATCAACCCCTGGAGCGTGAGTGGTGCCATCGTCGACGGAAAGCTCAAGGAGATCGATTACAGCCGACTCGTCGAGACATTTGGAACGCATTTAATCTCTCCTGAGCTGCTGGAACGGTTTGAACGAGTGACTGGCCACAGACCGCATCCATTTCTACGCAGAGGTCTCGTTTTCAGTCATCGCGATCTCGATTGGATTCTCAGCCGACATGAAAAGCGCGAGCCTTTCTTTCTGTATACAGGTCGCGGACCCAGCAGTGACAGCATGCATCTGGGACACATGGTTCCATTTACTTTTACCAAGTATGTTGCCATGGTTGTTGATGGGCTTATTGGACATACTAACCGTTCTCTCCCCCCAGGTGGCTCCAGGATGTGTTCGACGTACCCCTCGTGATTATGATGACCGACGACGAGAAGATCATTTTTGGAAAGAAGCCACATACATTGGAGGAGATGCGAGGTTTTACTCGAGGCAACGCAAAGGATATTCTGGCAGTGGGATTCGACCTGAAGAAAACATTTCTATTCAGCGACTTTGATTTTATGGGCGGTGCCTTTTATCAGAACGTGGTGCAAATTTCCCGTCTCATCACATACAACACCAGCAAGGCAGTCTTTGGTTTCAATGACAGTGACAATATTGGAAAGTCGCACTATGTGGCTGTCCAGTCGGCGACTGCTTTCGCGACCACATTCCCGCACATCTTCGGACCCAACCAGAAGAAAAACGCGACGATTCCATCGCTTATTCCTTGCGCCATTGATCAGGATCCCTACTTCCGTGTCTGTCGCGATGTGGCACCTCGTCTGGGGTACTGCAAGCCAGCCCTGATTCACTCCAAATTCTTCCCCGCCCTGCAAGGCTCTACATCCAAGATGAGCGCCTCGATCGACTCCAGCGCTATTTTCATGAATGATACGCCGAAGCAAATGTATGTCAATTTTACTGAATTCATGTTATGAAGACTACTAACTCTACGCAGTGAAAAGAAAATCAATAAATATGCATTCTCGGGCGGTCGCGACACAGTAGAGGAACATCGTCAATTTGGCGGCAACCCAGACGTTGACGTTCCTTTCCAATATCTCAGCTTCTTCTCTAACAATGATGAGGAGCTCGGGCAAATCCGCACTAGGTATAAGAAGGGTGAGATCCTGACGGGGGAGCTAAAGAAGAAGTGCATAGCGAAGCTGCAGCAGTTTGTCAAGGACTACCAGGCGCGTCGGGCAACAATTACTGATGAGCTTCTTGATGAGTTTATGGCCATTCGGCCTCTTGTTTGGAAACAGGGTCGGACCGATGATGCTTGAATGAAATATAAATAACATACTTAATCCATTCAATCTAACACTAAGACATTGGTTCAATGGTGAAAGGTTCCTGACTCTCCAAACTCTCAATTCGACCCAACAAGAATTCCAAATGCCTGAACGCCGCACTGGGCTGGTATTGAGGCACTATAAAACTTGATTAGCAAAGAATATCATCAAACAAAGCATAAAACCTACCCATATGTCCACACAAAGCAACCTCTACAAAAGTCAATCCTCTCTCTGTCCTAGTTCTACCCATAATTCCCGATCCAGCCGACATATTCGCATCAGGCGGAACATAAAACTTGCCATCGATGGGACGCTGGAACCCTTGCAGGCCATTCCAAGTCATATTTTGAATTGCGAGCACAGTCGCGTTCGGGAGGATGGTATAGTCCATTTCTCCCTGCCCGATGATGGCGCGGTTGACATTCTCAATGACTCGTGGCAGGACGGTTTGGCTGGACCAGAGACCTGCTGCGGCCGTTTGATCGGTGTCATTAATGAAGACGGGCTCGCTGGTACATTCTGCCCAGGTGGCGTTCAAGGGGGCGTTGATTGCTTTTTGGACTTCAGGTCTGTTGAAGTAGATTTTTGCGCCGGCTGGGAGGTAGTCGTATGCCCCTGGTGCGCCTAGGACATCCCATAGGTTGGGGCATGTTGTTGTTAGATGGTATGGATCCCAGCACTGGTATGTGTTAGTTACAGTGCAGTGATAAAGTGTAGAAGGCTTACAGGGTTGGGAATAAAAGCATTGTTGCCAATTGTCATGTACAGATCACAGTTGTCTGGTGCAGCCGGCATAGGCCCTGGCGGTGGAAATGTCAAATACTTCTGGATAAAGTCAGTTGCACCACAGGACTGAGCCTGATGGCTGATGCTTTCAGCGAACGTGTCATTAAAATTGAACAGCCTTGACCAGGTCTCGTAGGTCTGATAAGCAAACAGCTCCCGCTCGACGGTGTCAGAAACAAGAGTCGGGTCATAGACCATGATGCCATCCAGACTCCCTAGACTGGTATCATTTGTATCCAAGAGAGCATTGGCGATGTAGGGCACAAACATTCCTGAAACGTCAGTGATTATATCTATAAGGAGACATGCAAGAACAAACCAGCATATGATTCTCCCGTGACGTACACCTTCTTCCCCTGAAGACCAAACAACTCTACAAAATTCCTCAAGAAACCAAGAAACTGCTCAGCGACATCCGTCTGCGAGGTGACATTTGCTTTTCCCACCGAAAATCCAGTGCCGACCGGTTGATCAACCCAGACTATATTGGTGAGACGATGCCAGCTGTACGGATTCGAGACTGGTTTGAAGGTACCATACTGCCACAGAAATGGGCCATTTTCTTGGAGAAAGCCTTCCATAGAACTACATCCCGGACCACCATTCAACCAGATAGTGATTTCACCGGTGGCAGTGGGGTTTGTGGATGGGAAGAACCAGAAGTACAGCTTTCTTCCTTCATCTGTAATGTTGGATACTGGCAATAGACCGGCATAGGACTCACCGACGTCAAAGTCGACGTCTGGGATTCCAGTGCCATTGACGGCGAATGCTAGTAGCCTATCAACATATAAACTTGATTAGAGAGAGATTGACGTACCTTGAGTTTGATTGCTGAGATATTTCCCTTCGTCTCTCTTGGCTACCTGTGGTGGTGAGTGCCTTGAAGATGAGGCATAAATTTGCCTGTGCTCTGCCTGAAAAGCAGCATGTCCGAGGCCAGGGCCTCCAAAAGCAGCCAATGCTGAATGCAGTAGCCCAGTCACCACAAGGCAAATGGAGACTGGAAAGAGCATGATCAGCGCTTCGAGGACTCAACAATTGGACCGATTATCTGCAGAGGTGTCAATTGTTGATGGACGAGTTGAATAGGAAGAAAGGCATTGCATATGGCAACATGAAATATTCCATCAATTACCAGTGTCGTAAAATACACCTTATACAGAGTTGACTGTATTTTAAACTATATTAAATACAAGAGGTGATCGCCGCGAATACGAGGTTGTATGCATAAATTAGACTCAAAAAATAGGATTCTGCTCGCCGCAATTGTTATCAGTTTACACTGCCTTCGCCGCGTATTTGATCTATTCCAGTTATGGTAGGTTGAGGTTACATGCACAATCCTTCAGGATTGATGAGAATTATGGCTTATCGGGTATGGGGCAAAAGAGGGGGAGAGAAACACTCAAGCATTTTTAGGGATACCACAGATAATCCTCTTTTTTGCTTGGCTCTGTGCCCAGAAGCCTTAATTTTCTTGGAAACTGTCTTGGTCTGTTTCGATTGCTGAATATGTTGAGTTCGAACAAGGACAAGGAGCTCTCAGAGCCGTTTATTGATCATCCCGAATCTGATGGAGTATACACGCTGAATCCGACGATTGCGACAAAGAATGGCAAAAGCCGTCTTCAAATCTTCCTCTTCATTTTGCTCGGAGTCCTCATTGCCTCGTTGATATGGTGTCTAGGCATCATTGCAGTACTGAGTCGTACTCGAAATATCGCACCACAAGATGTGACCAGCTCAAGTCCTCAGTCTCCGTCTATCCAGAAAGAAAATCAATCGAGCAACTCTCCCATCAACATCCTTCACTGTGGCGATAATCCCACCGAAGCCAAAGCAATGGGATGCAAATTCCAAATTCACTCATACGCCTGGGTGCCAGAGCCCTGCTTCGACCCAGTTCTACACGAGGAGTGGCTGAAGATCCGAGACTGGGAATATTATACCGACAAGTACGACCAGGGTGAACCGGTGAATATCAGCGTCGCTTTGACGGGAGAAAGACATCTCTATTCGACTTGGGGACAGCATATTGAGCATTGTGCTTTCACTTGGAGGAAATACGTTCGGACGCAGACTGGATCGGGGGTGTTGTTGACAAACAGGGATCTTTCTTATGAACATGCTCATCATTGTTCGGATGCGCTGCGGACAAAATTTGAGCATCCTTGGGAGGAGGTGAATACGAAGGTGACGGTCGAGTTTCACATGTGTTAGATAGAACGTGTCAATATGAATGTACAGATGTTGTTGAATTTATATCAAACTTGTTTACAAAGTCATAAATCTATTTGCAAAATCTAAAAAGGATTATGCCCATGTTCATGTTCAGAAGCATGATCTTCAGTATGATCATGGTCAGCTATTCCCTTTTTGGCTTCTTCCTCTGCCATCTCCTTTGCCGTTCCATTGAAAACAACATGATCCTTCACCCAGTCTACAATCGGCTCCCACTTGCGACACTTGTGCAGTGTGTTGAAACTGGGACTCTCGCCATTGAATCCATCAGGATCGTTCCAGATCAGATACGGCGTCACGTCTGCCGTGCACATGAGGTTCATCCGGAGAGTCTCAATGCAGTGATCAACGTGCCATCGCACCATCTCTGCTCCGCCACCCCAGGATGAAGCGTTGGTGTAGTCCCATTCATCTTTGTAGGTGTATTGTCGGATTAGGTTCTGCTGGTTGTTAGACAAATCCTTCAAATTTATTGTTCATATTGGCTTACCAGGCAATGAATCTGGTGGAATCCTTCCAGCAATCCAACCGTCGGGCTATGGGGCTCTCGAGGCGTAACGCGACGCCAGTCAACATCGTCCGATTCGTTTAAGGCACCGAGTTTCTCAATTGGAACAGGGAATGCGCCATCTGTTTGTAGGAGTCTGATTAGCTCAACTTCTATCCGATATTGAATGAAAACATACACTTCCACAGATCCGTCCATGCCTGCTCCAGCTCAGCAGTTGGTTTGCCTCTGTATTTGGTAGGTGCAGTTGAGAAGTCGTTCTCAAAGGTAACCCATTCATACTCGACCGCTTCCATCACCGGTGCTATCCCCCAAGTTAGCTGAATCATTATAACACACAGTAGGCAGGAGAACGAACAGTATGCATTCATTTTGGTCGCACATTCAATATCAGTCGGTCCGGTAGACCTGACGGCAATAGAAGTAGCGAAAAAGACAATCGAGCTCAAAAATAGGCCGATATTGAAGTACAAGGGCCATCTTTGTGCTGGAGCAGATTCCTTGCTATACACAGGCGGCGATACCTCCTCATCTGAAACGTTGTCCAGAAACGGAGCATTTTGTTCTTCCATCGACGAGTTTTGCGACACTCTTTGGAAAGTGGTTTTCTCTGGTGTGCCCATGCTTTTGCTTGAATTCCAACTCCACAAAGCCATTATGGGTGTTTTAGATGGATGTGAATGTGGAAGATAGGAATTCAAGAAGAGAAGACGGGGAATCAAGTGTCTAGCTATGATTGAATTTGCTCAATCTACTCCAAATAGAAAATGCTGCATGTACTAATATCCAGATTATCCCCCCAGAGTGGCGGAGTCGATGGTGTCTTGCAAATTACCAATTCGGGGTCTGCAGGGAAAACCAGGGTTCTGTGATATGACAGGTCCACCACATACTTCAATGTCCCAGCGTATCACAATCCTGCAATGATCCTTTCCACCTCTGATGGCAAATACAGTCTTAGTACTGGACACGCTGACGGCCAGACCGAAGATGTGATGTCCCTGCGAATGGCAACATTGAGAACTCTTGCTTCATTGGCGATAGCCCAGAATTCTGAAGTTAATCGCCACTACAAAGTCCTATCGGCGTCACGCTGACCCCGCGATGTACGGTGTACATGCCACAACAGACATGAGGTGCTGTCATTTGCAAAAGCACGTACTTCTCGTATCTGAGTACAGATTGAGTCCAGTATTGCATTAGCTTCGAAAGGATCTTGGCCATTGCAGTCATTGGTTACTTTGGTTACTTTGGTTAGGTTACATTGCAGAGAGGATGGCTGGAAGTTGCCCGGCCAAAGTTAGTATCTGGACTAGATTAGACACTGCTGGATAAGGATTGGACGTGGCGTAAGACGGTCAATTCGGCATGTAGATGATTGACAATCTGCCATCTAAGACATCCCACCGTGGACTACAAATTTGGTCCATTGTCCCCATAGTTCGAAGATTCTTCTACCCATCAGCCATCTTCCTCCAGTGATCTACTCTCTACAAAATATCCTCCTATCACCTTCTACTAAACCCTCACTTCCTTCAATATGAAGACCACCGCTCTCGTTGCCATCCTCGGCCTTGCCACTGCTGTCGCTGCCACTCCCCTCAAGCGAGACGTCGAGTGGACCGAGAAATATGTCAAGCCTGAGGCTCGTGA